TGTCAGAGGCGGTGCGGTTGGCGCAGGATAGAGCAGGGTTTAGGGCTGTTGTGCATAGGGTCGCTATGAGTCGGAAACGACTCGACGGCACATAACAGCAACAACAACATGTATGACATGTTATATAGAAGTATATATTCAGGTTTTATTTCTTTTTTGGCAGCTACGTTTTAAAATCAGTTCTTGGTGGGAAAGGGATAAAAAGCAACAATAAACTCTCAAATCTGGCCTTGGACCACTCTTTTTTTGACGTAGTCCTGGAAAACAGGAAGGATCTTCTGTTGGAAAAGGAAACACCCTCGATTAGAAAGAAATGTTTTAAAAATACAGTTTAGGAAGAATTCTAGGCTCAGGTTTAGAAGCTCCTTAAAATGATATGGTTTGCTTCCAGTCTTTCACATATATTGGAGTTGAAATAATACCATGGTCTTAATAAATCTGTGAAAACAAACTACAATAAAAAAATCTAATTAATCATACTCAGAGACCTGCGGCTCAGCTCTCCAGTTCTGAACAATGGTAAACAAGCTTTTATTACCTGTCGCATTGTTTGAAAAATGCAAGATTTGCCATTTTGTTCCAGTGTTTCTAAGTTATAGGAAAGTGAAAAAATAACATCTGAATTGTTACTTTTCATGTCCTAATTCTTTAGGCTTGCTGAGTTCTGAGCAAGCAGAATACTTATTGTCTCTGCAAAGGATGTACCTAAAGCCATTGAACAAGCATAGATAGAGGCTAGATCTTCTTGGAGGGTCAAATGTAGATGAAGAGCTTTGGGGGGAAACTTGTAAATCAATATATGTGTGCATTTTGATAGATTCTAGGATTCACAGTTTATTTAATATGGTGACTCGTGAAAGAATCTGCATGTTTACAAGATTGGCATGTAGTCATAGTGCTGCAGCTGAGGCTAGTGTGAGCAATAATTCCTTATCCTCTGTTAAGGTAAAGACTTCACAGTGTCGGCTTAAATATAAGCAAGTGAAATTCATTGAGGGATGGAGATGATCTAGAACAGGGAACGTCCTTCATTACAGGGTGACAGTGGGTCAGGAACTAAAAGTTATGTAATTCATATTTGGCTGAAAGACTCTCTAGGTTAGCAGCTCTGATGGCATGATCATGCGTCGTGTTGTTAACTGAAAAGTTAGCGGTTCAGATCCACCAGCTGCTCCTAGAGAGAAAGCAAGGCAGTCTCCTTACATAAATATTTATACCTTCAGAAACCCGAAGGAGGATTGCTGTGAGTTAGAATCTGTCTACATGGTGGTGGGTTTGTATGGTGGGTATTTCTTCCCACTGAAGTCAGAATTAATGATTATGATTTTATTTTTAGGGCATTTGCACGTTAAAGGCAAAGAAGAAAAAATGTCTAAGTCATTAAAAAACTACATTACAATTAAGGTAAAGTGCTTAATTTTTCTTGTTGTTCTCATTTTTATGGTGACACATATGTAGTAACAAGACATTTGCCATGCAGACAGTCTTTATGTGTCAGGTGAGCCACGTTTTGTTCATTCTGTTGCCTGACCATCTCTTTTATCCAGTTCCAGATTTCCCCGCTTCATTTAATGGAAGCGGAATTAAACAGAAGCAGTGATAATAGACTTTTTAAAATTTTTATTTTGTTAACATTTTAGCAAATTTCCCAAATTCTACACATGCATAGTTTGAGTTTTTCTTAAATTAATTTTCACTCCTTTCCCCCTTCTATCCATTGCTGTTAGCCCTCCAAGATTAATTCTAAGTTTAAACCTCTCCTTAGTTTTTTAAGTAATACTCGTCTTATACCATAATTGTCCTTTTTGTCTGACTTACGTCTCTCAGAATAATTTGTTCTAGTTTCATCGATGTTGTAAATGTTGCAAATTCTTGATTATTTTTCAGCAGTGCATAATACTCCATTGTGTGAATATGCCATAGATTTTAAAGCCTTTTTTTTCTCCCTCTTGCTGGACATTTGGGTTGTTTCCAACTCTTTACACTAAAAATGAGTATGCCAGTTTATGTTGCAGCTCTTATTTATTTTTTTAAACATTAAAAATGTTTTTTTAATTTTCCCCCATTGTTGCACGTTTTCTTTCTTCCTCCCTTCCCCCTCCCTCAGCCCTTCTTACAGTGGACGCCTTGTTCCAGATTGTTGTCACATAGACAGTATCTAATCATTTATTCCTTTCAGACAGTTCTTCCCCTCATCTGATCTAATGCTCTGTTCATTATCTGTCCACTCTTTTCCTATTCTCTCTCCAACCCCTCCCATGCCTGTCCTTTTTTTATAGCAGTGGTATTAAGCAATATTTGTCCTTTTGTGACTGAGATACTTCATTCTGCACAATGTCCTCCAGGCTCCCCCATGTTGTGTAATGTTTTGTGAGTTCATTGTTTTAAATGCTGCATAGTTTGCTTCCATCTCTTTGCTAATTGTGAATAATGTAGCAGTAATCATGGGGGTGTGTACATCTGTTTGAGTAGCAGCTCTGATTTCTTTAGGGTGTATTCTCAGTAGTGGAATTACAGAGTCAAATGGTATTTGTATTTCCAAATTTTTGAGACAGCACCAGACGGCCTCCCATGGTGGTTGCATATTTTACACTCCTACCAGCCGTGAATAAGAGTTCTAGTCTCTCTACAACCTTGCCAGCATTTGTTGTTTGCTGCCCTGTTGAACTTTACTATTGTTGCTGAAGTGAGATGATATCTCATAGTTGTTTTGATTTCCACCCCTCTGATAGCTAGGGATTTTGAGCATTTCTTCATGTCACCTGAATATCTTCTTTTGTGAAGTATCTATTCATATCCTGTGACCATTTTGCAGTTGGATTGTTTACCTTTTTCTTGTTGAGATGCTGGCATATTCTATAAATTTTAGATATGAGTTGCTTATCAGATATGTCATTGCCAAATATTGTTTCCCAGTCTGTGGCTTTCCTTTTTCCCTGTTGGAGACTTTTTTTAAAAAAATATATCTAGGAATTTGATTCTTAGAAGGTCTTACACATTTTTTTTCTTTTTATTCTTTCATTTTTGTTTTTTCATTATGTTTGGAAGACTGTTCATGCTGTGGATTAAGACTTCTAGAGTTGTTCCTAGCTTTTCTCTGAAAAATTTTACTGTCTTTGGTTTTGCTTCTAGGTCCCTGATCCACCTCGAGTTGGTTTTTGTGTATGGTGTGAGGTGTGGGTCTTGCTTGAGTTTTCTGCAGTTGGTTTTCCAATTTTATCAATACCATTTGTTAAAGAGGCTGTCATTATCCCACTTAACTGACTTCGTCCCCTTGTCAAAAATCAGTTGACCATAGGTTGTTGTGGTGGTGTTAAGTGCTGTCGAGTTGTAGACGACTCATAACAACCCTATGAATGAAAGATCTGAACACTTGTATAACTTTCATTGTTTCTCCAAGTTCATAGGGTTTCTGGAGGCAAGCTATTTCGGAAGTGGATGCCACTCCTGCTTCCAAGCTTGTTTTACTTGGGGAGCTCCACCAAACACTGTCCACCTTTGGTAACCATTATCGCATTTGACACATCAGTGTCACAATGTTTAGCATCACAGCAACCATGTGTTACCTCTGTACAGCAAATGGACAGATCAGTGCTATACCACTTAGAAGACTGTTTGACCAAAAACAATTAAAACCAGTCCTGAGGGCCGCAGATTAAAATCACCCACCTTTGGCTTGGTAGCATCACTTTCTGCCCACTAGACCAACTGAACTATCGTAGGTAGATGAACTGATTTCTAGATTCTAGCTGTTCTCTCTTTTTTTTTTCTTTTTTTAAAATTAATTTCAATGAACATCTACAGAGATTTTGGATTTCCATTCATCCACTGTTGCACTTTTCTCCCCCTCACCCTCCTGTTTGCTATTCTCTTTTTAAGCACACTTTCTCCCTGATGGTGTGGTTTTCTTTATAGACTTTCACTTTCTTTCTGTATATTCTGAGACTTAACCTTCTTCTCGTTTTTAAAAATAATATTTTGCTTCTTGAATTATATTTGTTAAGTTACTTTTCTTTTTCTATCTGGCAGCAGTTACTTTTCTTTTTCTGTCTGGTTTCTATCAAACTTGGCATTGGAATTTGTTACTGTGATTATTTAGTAGCTTAACTGCTGATTACCTGAAAAATGCCATTGTGTTGAAGAATGAAATAGCGCATTTCCATATGAATGGAAAGCAGTTTCACTAATAGGGACACATTTCAAAAAAATAGAAGAGTGTGCTGTTTTCCTTTGTCTTTAGGTCTCATAAATTTAATTTTAATTGCTAATTAAAGTGATAAGGATTGTAACCACATTTCATCACCTAAATATTCAGGTATTAAAAATTATTATGATCAGGTTTAAAAGAAACCAAAAGAGGACTACTTCACAGGACATATTTTATACACTCCACTTAGTATTGCCAATATAATATGTGGTTCAACAGCAGTTAATATTTTGCCATATATCTTGATATATATATATAAATATATATGATGGCAGTATTTAGTGTATCCATGTGTGATTTTGTGTGCATATATACTTGTTGTTATGCTATTTGAACATATGTTAGAGGTGTCATGGTACTTTTTCAGATAACTCATCATGTTGCATCTAAGTATGTTTTCCTATCCTACAAGTATTTAGGGACCCCTAGTGGCTTTGTGATAGGGAGTTTGCTGCCATCCCAAATTCACACAGTTGGAATCTACCAGTTGCTGTGTGGAAGAAAGATGGTGAGTCTGCTTCCATGAGATTTACTGAAAGGTGGTGTACAACAACAACTTAAATACCTAAAAAGTTAACATTAATATGTAAATATTGTCTGTTATGCAGTTTATATTCCTAGTTTTCCATTTGTCCTAAAAATATGTATTACAATGCTGTGTTTGGGTTTTAAAAACCACAATCTGATCCAGATTTATGCAACACATTAAGATGTCCAGTAACTGACAACAGCCTTTCTGTTGGTTTTTTCCCTCGTTGCCATTTTTATTAGAGCTTCAGGTCTGAAGCACTGAGCTCATGGAAGGTTGAGGTTTGTAGCTGAGCTTTAACTCCATTCCAGTCAGGAGATAGACTTACGGCACTAGGAAAACTGTAGTCAGAGACCTTTCCAGATTATTGAGTAGCAGTGATGTCAGTTTGAGGACTAATGTGCACCTGATTCAGGCTTTGATCTTTTCAATCACTTGCTATGCATCTGAGAGCTGGATAGTGAATTGAGATGACAGAAGGAGAATTGATGCCTTTGAGTTGTGCTGTTGGAGAATGTTGTTGTTGTGGTTGTTGGCAGATGCCATCAAGTAAAGTGAGACTCGTGACCATGTGAAGAACAGACCTGAATCCTGCTCTATCCTGCATCATCCTCATCATCTCTGACACCATTGCTGAAGTCATTGTGTCAGTCCATCTCACTGCGGTTCTTCTCCTTTACTGACCCTTTATCTTCCCAACCATGATTTCTCTTTTCAAGGAATAGCTTCGTTTAGCTACATTTCCAAAGTAGGAGAGAAGGAGCTTCGCCAACGTTGCCTCCATGGAGGACCCTAGCTGCACTTTCTTAAAGATACATCTATTCATTCTTTTAGCAGTCCATAGAACATTCAGTATTCATCTCCAGTACCAAGTTGCAAGGCATCAGTTCTTCTGTCATCCTTGTTCACTGTCCAACTCTCTGAGTCTGATGGTGATTGACAATACCATGACTTGAATCAGGAGCACATTGTCTTCAAAGTAACATTGCTCTTAATTTGGAGAAATCCCTGACAACAGGCTTGCATAGTGCAAAATGTCTCCTGATTTCATTGCTGCTGGTACCAAGACTGTTGATTGTTGATCCAAGCAAGTGAGACCAATGAAAGCTTCAATCCATTCATCATGGTGTTGACTGTCGGTCCTGTGATGAGGATCTTTGTTTTCTTGATGTTGAGATATAATTCGTACTGAAGGCTCCAGTCCTTGATCTTCTGCAGCAGACATTTCATATCCTTATTTTGAGCAAGCCATGCTGTGTCATCTGCATAACGCAGGTTGTTGATGAGTCTTCCTCCAGTCTTGAGGCCACATTTCTCTTCCTAGAATCCAGCTTCATGAATTTTTTGCCCATCATATAGATTGAATAGGTATGGAGAAAGGATACATCCCTGATTCATACCCTTCCTGATTTTGAAGCATACTGTTTTCCTTGCTCTGTTCGGACAACAGCTTCTTGATTGAGGTACAGATTTTTTCATGAGCACATTTTTCCTTAGTGTTCTGGGATTCCTATTCTTCTCAATGTTAGCCCTAATTTGGTATGATCCACATGGTCAAATGTCTTTACATAGTTAATAAAACACGAATAGATAGTCTTCCAGTATTTTTCTGCTTTCATTCAGAATCCATATGATGTCCATAATGATATCCCTGCCACACAGCGTGGC